TTTTATATATAGAAACTACTTCCAGATTTTAAGAAATTATCAGGGTAGCTTATTTTCAGAATTACAAATTTTCCTATATTTCTTCTCCAAGAAAAAAGAGAGTAGCTTATTTTCGGAGGTGGCTTATTTTTGGCAATATACGGTAAAAATAATATAAGCTTACTTCTTCAATTCTATCAAGAGTTTTATATTTGTTTGCAAATGCTTTAAAAACTTTAGCAAAATCTCTGCTACAACTCATTTTGTTAAAATATAAACTAAAAGTGAACTATATAAACAATATTGATTCTACTACTTTATGTGTTATTTATTAGTTGTGCGACAAAATCACAAGACAACTTAAGTGCACTCTTTATAAGTAGGACGTGCATTTAGAGAGGTTTGAATATAAATAAATAAACTTATTTTTTAGTTATATAATTTGTGTTATGAATTAATTTGTTGGTTTGATTCCACGTTATACCAGATCTTATACAATATACATTTTAGATTACTTTCAATGTATTCAATAATTGGCTAATCAAATTAAAGTTTGGTAAAGCTCTGTAATATTGACTAATCGAATTTTAGACAAAAATCGAAGCAAATCCACTTTTTTTTTGCATAAAAACAAAAATAGCTTTAAATTTTAATTATTAAACCATCTTCTGTGGTCTAATTAAAAATGTTTCTTGTGAAATTTTACTAATAAAACAACCTTAACCCTATGTTGTTCTTACTCTAACTCTAAATATAACATGGCTTTATATACAACTTTTTACTTCAGTACTTAGAAAACAAAACATGTTTGTTTTGACTATCGCATTACACCTAATATCAGGAAAATAAATATAGTGCAGATCTGCACAGATCTGCGACTCTGGAAATTTTTGTCAAATTTCACTATATCTCATGATCTATCAATCAGAAATTAACGAATCCAGTACCATTCGAACCATCTTGATGAAACAGATCGAATGATACTAAATTTATTAAAATTCAATTACTGAATTATGAGATAATCACATTTAAGTAAATTTTGTAGCCACTTCACGATTTTGTTAACCAGTAGTCCAAATTTAATAATTTTGGTACTATTCGATTTCTCTCGACGAGACGGTTTGAATAGTACCAAAAACATTAAAATCGAATTACTAGTTCACGAGATATTTGCAGAATACATTTCGCAGCACAGTTTTGCGCAAATCTGCAAATTTTTTTAGTGCAAAACTGCACCACAAAACATATTCTGCGAATATCTTGTAAACCAGTAATTCGATTTTAATGTTTTTAGTATTATTCAAACTGTCTCGTCAAGAGGAATTGAATGGTACCAAAATTATTAAATTTGAACTACTGGTTAACAAGATCATAAGATGGCTGCAAAATTCACTTAAATGTAATTATCTCATAATTCAGTAATCAAATTTTAATAAATTTTAGTACCATTTAATCCGTCTCATCAAGTTGGTTTGAATGGTACTGGATTCATTAATTTCTGATCAATAAATCATGAGATATAGTGAAGTTTGTCAAAAATTTCCAGGGTCACAAATCTGCACTATATTTAGTTTCCCGATGAATTTTGAATTTTGATTGGTCAAAATCACGAGTGGAAATAGAAATTTTTACAAATTTATAGCAAGTAAATATAGAATTAGAGGTTCGCTAAAGTGGGATAACTATTAAATCAACGATCTAGAAAGTCATGCAGGTTAATTGATCATCTACTAATTGTGGCCAATTACTATACTCTGTGCTACTATATAAATTTTTTAAAAAAAATTTTTCTTCTTTTATTGAGGCATCAAACTTTACATATTTGAAATTCTCTGTGAAAACACTAATTGTAAAGAAAAACTCTGCGATAAGCTAGTAGTTATAATAATAAATAAAGTCTGATTTATAAATTTTTATAGCAACAAATCTGATTATTAAAAAGGTATTCGCAGCAAACGACCCAAGAAGCAAAGTTCTGGCTAAATCCTGCAGCAGACAAGCAGCTTGTAGCTATTAAAAAAGACCTGCAATGAATAGTAAAGTGAATGGAAAACTAAAAAAAAATTACATGATCACTGCCACAGCTATATCAAATGCTTTTTTAATATAAATATTAATAAGTGATTGGTTCTTGTTAATAATATATGAACAAAATTTAATGGATACAATTTGGATAACAGTAATGAATTAATTTTCGTTTGTAGACTTTCAAACCTCAAGAATCAAGTAGAAGAAAGTTTTTTTCCTAATAAGCTTTGCATAATCCAGAAAAAACTTGCTATTGATTATTAGAATAACATAGTTAGCAGCCTCAAATATAGTTAAAATTGAGAGGGTTAATATGGAGGTTTTTTTAAAAAAAAATATAATATAGTGATTTTAATAAATTAAAAAATTAAATAAATAAATATTTAGATTTATAAATATTTTTTATTGTTTAATTTTTATTTAATTCAGGTTAATTTTTACGATTTAATTTCATTTGTTCGTGTTGTTTTAGCATGTAAGCATAAAGAATATTTATTAATCAAGCTGTTTAAATTAAGCTATTCAGATTCATAAATATAATTATTTAATTTTCTTTATTTAAGATGCGTAAATATAAAGAAATTTATGAATTTAAGTTTCATTTTATTTGTGTTGATTTAGTAAAGAATATTTATTAATCTATTTAAAGGTAGAGTGTATGTAAATCATTTATCATATGATATGCGTTGTCAATCTTTTTGTGTAACAGTTTACATAGTAAACACAACTCTGATTGGGTAATTACCAATTTTAGTAATAATTTTACTATTTGATTTTTGTGTAACCCCGGCAAATTTGAAGCTCTCCCAGCAAATTTAACTATATAAAGAAGTATATTTTTTTAAAATAATACGACCTATGAAAATTTTACTACTTTAAATAGAAGGTTTAATCTGTATATTACTCAATTTTAGTAAAAATTGACAGTAATTTTGAAAACTTTTATTAGTGGCGTATTGTAATTTTATACATAAAATCTCATTGTACTACAAAAGTCATATGATAAATGATTGATATACACTCTACCTTTAAAATCAGCTATTCAGATTCATAAAATATTTACTTCTTAATTTTTTTTAATTTAGTATGTTATTCAGGTTTGTAAATATTTATTATTTAATTCATTAATTTGATGTATAAATATGAAGAAAATGAAGAGATTTATTAAACTTAAAAGTTAAATTCAGCTATTCAGGTTAATAAATAATTTATATTTAATTTCCTTTAAATCAGATTAGTGCATAACAAAAAATACGAAGAAAATTAAGCTTGTGAATAGTTACTATTTATTTATTTATTGTATTATTTGTATGCGAGTATAAAGAAAATTTACTAATCTCCAAGTGTTTTAAAACCTTTAATATTGTAAGTTTTATTAAAAAAAACTTTGGGTGAATAAAAAAAAAAAGAATTACAACCCAGCCTTTATAAAATGAATGTGAATACCTTGTGCTATCTCTTTCAATTTTCATCTTTGATAATGAATAAATGCTTTTGTTCAATTAATTGCTGGTTCTAATATTTTTTCCAAATTTCCAACGAATCATGATGCCTTATCTACACTTTTCTACCAATTTATAGTAGTAGTCTCTAGTTCTTTCAAATAATTCATTCATTTTTGATTGACTTTTTTTGGCTACTTTATTAGCTGCAGGTGTCTGAACAACAGGTATTTCCACAATACCACATGTTTGATATATCTTCAAGCCACCCTCTTCAAATATTCTTTGAAAGTTTTCCAAGCTTCCGATATTAAAATATTGGTACCACAAAGTTGTTTATGAAAAATATGGTAACCTGATAATATATACTGATTAAAAAAACATATAAGCATTTTGCACTTACAAGGTTTGGTAAGCACTTTCCTTCTTCTAGTTTTTTTGCAATGGTATATACTTCTTCTGCAACAACTCTTTGAAGGGGAAAAGGAAATTTATAGATTTTATTAAGAACTTCTGGTCTAATATTGGCAAGATAAATTTTTTTAATGTGAAATTCAATTGCAGTTTTTTTTGCTACTATCATTTTTTGTCGTCAAGTTCTAAAAGAATTTGACATGCCTCTAGATAATAAATAAATACTGTTAATAAAAAAAAAAAAAAAAATTTTGCTTGGTTTCATCATTCATTACATAATAATATTGTAACTAATCGAACTTGCATGCTAAAAAAAAATAATTTCAATATTTTTAAACATTTAAAAATAAAAATGCTATATCCTCAAAAATTACCTGATAAATTAATATCTAAGTCATATCTAGAATATTATGCTATTTTTTCTAAGATGCACATCCTTTGATTAATCCAAATTATTAAATTAAAAATTCAAAAAAATTAGCGAAGTGTTATTACAAAGTGCGCTTGCTAACACTTTTCTTTCTCTTGATTTAAGATCATTGCTAATAAGATTTGAATCTTACAACATGACGTTCTTGGAAAGTTTATCTGCTAATGTTTTTTTTCTAAATTGTCCAAGTTCATTGAACTAAGATCTAGTAAAGTCTATATATTCTTGCGAAGTACTATTATTAACTAAAATTTTCAGACTCGCATAATCCAGAGTTGAAGCAACCTCTTGATTTCAGGACTATGCTAGCTGTTTTCTAAATACTAAGTTCTAATGCTATAAAAAATTTTGCTCACTTAAAAAATTTATGTACATCTTTTTATTTTTAAGAATATTGTTATTTTATACTGAAGTTGTTGTATTTCAAGTGGATTTACGAGTAAGCTTAAATTATCTTGATGACTTGAAGAATTTTCATTATTTTAAGCTGATATTCAATAACATAGTATTAATCCAAAGCTTTATTAGGAATAATTTGGTTAAAGCATTGAGAATTACTCTTGTTTAGAGTAATTGGCAGGATCGCTATCCTGATATTTTTTGTAAAGTTCAATATATTAAGATGGTGTACCTTCTATAGGTTCTTCTCTATTTTTCTGAAAACATGAACAACAAGCGTAAGTGTAGATTCTTAAATAGCTATATCACTTTTTAAATTCTTTGATTATTTTTTACCTATCTTTTTTTCTTTAATTTCATATGTGCCTATATTTTGTATATCTACAATTTTGCCTGTACTTGATACTGGTGATTATGTGAAGATTGGTTTAAATAGATCCATGATTACAGACTATGTTAGAACCATACTTTTATTACAGAATTGTTCATTTCTTCGCTAATACCTTCTATTTAAATTTTCCAAAGAATTTGTCCAAAGCTATAGATAGACGTTTGATTTCTTATCACATTTATAACCATGCCTGAGACTCGATATACTAGCATTCTATAAATTTAAAGTTATAGACATTTCATTAATTTGCTTTAAGAATCCGAAGCCTGTAATATTTGGTTGGCTTTGATAAATTAAAATGTTTTTTGAATGCTAAATTATTAAATATAATGATTGTAGTAATTTAAGAAATATAAAACCTGTAAAATATATATAATACTATACTTACTAGTTCTTTATAAATAAATATTATTATTATGTAAAAATAAAAGTCTAAGTGCTTTTTCCTTAGCAATGCAAGTTCAATTTACTGCAATGTTACCATGCAGTGAGTAATTAACAAAACCTAATACAAAATTTTTTAATGCAAAAAATAAAATAAAAAAAGTTTTTAAGCTAGTAAAAATACTCGCCAATCAAACCATATTGAACAGATATTTTTGCCTTTAACTCACTGTAAAAAGATTCTAGAGGATTAGTAGAAGTAATTTTAAGAAGAAGCAGTGAATGTTGCCAAGCTCAAAAAGACTATCACAGGTCGAAAGATAAAAAATTAGGCACAAATCAGGTACCCGATTTTAAACTGATTACTGCCTGATTACCACCTGATTTATGCATATTTTTGTACCAAAAATTTGGTACAAAAATATGCATAAATCAGGTAGTAATCAGGCAGTAATCAGTTTAATATCGGGTACCTGATTTGTGCCTGATTTTTTATCTTTCGACCTGTGTATTGTCTCGAATTTTTTATATAATTTTTAGTAATATATTTTGCGATTGCTTGAACTAGACAAGTACTAATAGCATTACGAACAACTTCTTTACATCTAATTTGTGTTTTTTATGCATTACATAACTATTTTGTTAAGTGTAGGACCATGGTAAATATTTTTTATCCATGTTTATATAACATGTATGGTACAAAGGAGAACATCATACTCTTGCTTTCCTATAAATTAATAAAATTATGTAAATTGTTAAAAAAAAAAAATATTAATAATAAAGTAAAATAAAATAAAAAAATAAAATAAAATAAAATTAAAATAAAATAAAAAAAAACATATTCTCTTCCTATCTATTGAAAGATCTGGAAAAGTTAATGCAATACCGTTTAATTCTACACTGCTTTGATCAAGAAGTATATACCTCAGATTCCAATGCAGAGCAAAATTTTAAATAATTCTTAATGCCAATACAACTGCTACACTAGTTTCTCTATTAACAAAAAAATGAGCACCAACATTCCAACAACCATAGCCACAGTATCACAAACATATAAAGTAAATAAATACCACCTATGCTTATTAGTATTATGTGTAAAATCGATTAGCATTAGCTAACCATAACATGTTAAAGTTTCCAATTGCCAAAAATCTGCGAAACATAGACCTTGCAAGCACACAAGCAATTCTCACTTTTGAAAAGACTCAACCTAATAATTATTTTTTAGCAAAAATTCGGTTGAACTAAAAATATCAGAACTTAAATTTGCATCTCTAATAAGATGCAAGTTCATTGGACCAACAAGCTTCAGCTTGATATTTTCAACCTCCTTAGTTTTTAAATCTAAGTTCTTATTTAATTTAAAAACTTCTTTTCTAATAATATTCGTGATTATTGGGGTTTATAATTCTTGATTGCTTCATTAGCCACTATATTTTTAATAAATTTTAACCATTTATACATATCGTTTTTCTCTATTAAATAGCTATGATCAGGGATACTGCTTATTTACAATTTATTTTAATTATTAAAAAAAACACTTCTTTAAAAAATACATATAAATTATACTCTTACTCTCTCAATTCTAACTATATTTATTACTATTAACCATGTTATTTTAATTCTAGCTTTACAATCAATAGTGGGGTGTTTTGAGGTTATACGAAACTTTTCAAAAAGAACATTTTCTTTTCTTTCACTTGATTTCTTGGGCTTTGAAAACCTACAAGCAAAAGTTTTGCATTTATCACCATTATCCAACTTGTATCCATTAAATCTTGTCCAAATATTATCAACAAGAGCCTATTGCTTATTAAAATTTTCAAGTGAAAGCTCAAATGTTTTATTTATATTAAAGAAGCGTTCTTGAATAGTTGACATAGCTATAAAAATATTCATTAAGTTTTTTTTTTTCTATTAGCTTTTCTGTTTACTGTTTGTTGCCAGAAACTATTCTTCTGCTACAGGATTTAGCCAGAACTTGTAAAGATTTTTATGTATGTACATACAAGCTCTGTTTCTTTTTTTTTATTTTTATTTTTATTATTTTTATTTTTTTTTTATTTTTTTATATGTAACTATCCCTTAATTGGTAGAGATTTGCAAGCAAATTTGTCTGCATAATTATTATAAATATGTTTCTGATCTATTTTTTTAATTATTTAAAATATTTAAATAAAATTTAACATGATAATATTTGAATATAAGGATTATATTTTTGCAATATTTGTATTTATATTATAAGACAAAAATTTTAGTTTGCTTATAAGCTAAAAATAG